CCCCCACGTGTTCCACTCCGCCCCAAAGCCCCCGGCGCTGCAAGTGCCACGCCGGCTACGTGGGGGACGGCTTGCAGTGTCTGGAGGAGCAGGAGCCGCCTGTGGACCGCTGCCTGGGCCAGCCCTCGCCCTGCCATGCCGACGCCACGTGCACTGACCTCCACTTCCAGGGTGTGCTCCCCCACCTCCTCCCCGCGCCCCTGCCTCACCCCTTGGGGCTGGCCTGCTGATCTTGTGCTCTACGTTCGCAGAGAAACGGGCTGGTGTCTTCCATCTCCAGGCCACCAGCGGCCCCTATGGCATGAACTTCTCAGAGGCTGAGGTGGCATGTGAGGCCCAGGGAGCTGTCCTGGCCTCACCCCTGCAGCTCTCCGCTGCCCAGCAGGTATGTAGGGCCCTTGAGGTGGAGTCAAGCCCACAGGGCCTCTGCCGTTAGGCCTGGGGCCTCAGTATCCCTTCCTGCCCCCACAGCTGGGATTCCACCTGTGCCTCGTGGGCTGGCTGGCTAATGGCTCTGCCGCCCACCCTGTCGTCTTCCCTGCACCTGACTGTGGCGGCGGGCGGGTGGGCGTGGTCAGCCTGGGCACCCGCAGAAACCTTTCGGAGCGCTGGGACGCCTACTGCTACCGTGTGCAAGGTGCATCCGCCCACCTCGCCCCATACCCTTGCTCTGCCCTGGGCCCCACCCAGAGCCCCTGACCTGCCTTTCCTGCAGACGTGGCCTGCCAGTGCCGAGCTGGCTTCGTGGGTGATGGGGTCAGCGTGTGCAACGGGAAGCTGCTGGACGTCCTGGCCACCACCGCCAACTTCTCCACCTTCTACGGGGTGTGTGGGGCCCAGCGGCGGGTGGGTGGGTGTCTGGGCTCCCGGGAGGCAGCTTGCTCACAGTCCTGCCTGCCTGCCTGCCTCCTCCAGATGCTGCTGGGGTATGCCAACGCCACCCAGCAGGGTCTCGACTTCCTGGGCTTCCTGGATGACGAGCTCACCTACAAGACACTCTTCGTCCCTGTCAACGAGGGCTTTGTGGGCAACATGGTACCTGGCAGGGCTCGGGCAGCAGGGCTGAGCTGGAGTCTGCCCCTGCCGGGCCTGGCCAACCACCCTGCTCTGCCCACAGACACTGAGTGGCCCAGACCTAGAGCTGCATGCTTCCAACACCACCTTCCTGAGTGCCAACGCCAGCCAGGGGGCCTTGCTCCATGCCCACTCGGGCCTCAGCCTCGTCATCGGGGACACGCACCCTAGCAACAGCTCCCGGACCCCTGCGGTGAGTCTGGCCGCTGTCCGCCCTGCTGGCTCTGGCCCTCGCTCACCTGCCGGGCCTCACTCTGGTCTCCCTGCAGGCCCCAGGGGCAGTTGTGGTCAGCCACGTCCTCGTGTGGGACATCATGGCCTTCAATGGCATCATCCACGCTCTGGCTGGTCCCCTCCTGGCACCCCCAGAGTCTGTGAGTCAGGGTTGGGGGGATGGGGAGACAGAGCTGCAAGGGGTGAGGGACAGATCCCGCCAGATCCCTGATGCTCTCGTTTGCAGCGGGCAGTGCTGGCACCCGAGGCCCCGCCGGTGGCGGCAGGGGGGTCCGGGGGCCCCGCCGGTGGCGGCAGGAGTGGGGGCTGTGGTGGCTTTCGGAACCGTGCTCGGCCTGGTGGCCGGAGCCTTTTACCTTCGTGCACGAGGAAAGCCCACAGGCTTCGGCTTCTCGGCCTTCCAGGTAGGGCTGGGCAGAGGCAGCTGGCAGGGGTCTTGGGTCTCACTTGCCCCTCACGACTCACCTGTGCTCCCAGGCAGAAGATGATGCCGACGATGACTTCTCCCCGTGGCAAGAAGGGACCAACCCCACTCTAGTCTCTGTCCCCAACCCTGTCTTTGGCAGCCACGAGGCTTTCTGTGAACCCTTTGACGTGAGTGCAGGACAGGGGAGATGGGGAGTGGGCCCGGGCTGGCCTGGCCCTGCCACCAGCTGCCTCTTCTCCTAGGACTCGCTGCTGGAGGAGGACTTCCCAGACACCCAGAGGATCCTCGCAGTCAAGTGACGACGCAGCCGGGGCGGAGGCAGAGGCACACGAGGGAGGGAGGTCACGTTTATTGCTCGTCTGGACAGATGCCCGGAATGGAGGGGGCAGGAGGGGCTGGGGTCCGTCCTGGACAATAAAGGAGGCTCAGCGGATGTGGGCCATGTCGCCAAGGAAGGGTGTCTTCATGCAGCCGGTGCAGAGCTGGTCCATCCAGAGGGGCGCCTCGTGCTGCAGGGGCGTGCGGCGCGGGTAGAAGGTGAAGTCCACGCTGTAGTTGAGCAGGCAGCTGAGGGAGGCCATGTAGAGGTCGGAGAAGCGCACGAGGCGCCTGGAGAAGTAGGTGGGGTTGTGGAAGGTGCGGAAGATGCTCCCGAACTGGGCGTTAAACAGGGCCTTGGTGATGCACCTGGGGAGGAGACGGTCCTGGTGCTGCTGCGGGCACAGCCGGCGCTGGCAGTGACTCCCGCCGCCCCACCCCCTCACCTCAGCTCCTGCCGCTCCTTCATCCAGGCCGCCAGCACCTGCCGCGACTCCGCGTCCTGGTAGGTCTGAGGGACAGAGCGGAGAGCATGCTGGGGGGCGCCCAGATGGTGGCCCAGCCCCGGGCTGTCCCGTCCCGCCGCACACCTGCATGCGCTCCAGCAGCCCGGTGAGCGCCTGCTGCCAGGTCAGCGAGTGCATGTACTGCTCCGTGTTGATGATGCGGATCTCGCGCTCCAGCTCGGGGATGATGGCCCCCGTGCGCCAGCCGTGCCGCAGCATGAGATCCTGGGGGGGTGGGGGCTGGGCTCAGCGCCAGTGGGGGGAGTGCCCTCCCTCCCCCCTGCAGCCCAGCCGCCCCTCACCGCCAGGTCGCTGTAGAGGTGGTCTCCAAAGTACAGCACTCGGGGGCCGCGCCACTCGGTCAGGCGTAGGAAATCAAACAGGTTTCCCTGGTGAGAGGGGGCGCTGCTGGGCCTGGGGCACACCCCAGAGCTGCCCGAATCAGGCCCTGGCCACTACTGGGCCTCTTGAATCCCCAGTGAGCCGAGTCCAGCCGGATGTGGGCTGACCTTTCCCGTGGCCCTGCTGTCCCTCCCTGGGCTTTGCTGCTTCCCCCTCCCATTTGGGAAGGGGGGCTGCCTGGCAGGAAGATCTCCTGTGGGCCTGGCCTGGTGCCCTGTGCCTCGGGGGCCTCCCCTCCCTGTGACCTGACACCCAGCGCCAGCTAGGACTCGAGTCTCCCTCTGAGAAGCAGCTGCGGGGAAGGCCCACGCCCTGCAGGCCCAGAAGGAGCAGGGGGCCAACAGCAGACCTCGCTGGAGCTTGGGCTTTGGCTCCAGAGCCGGAGGGAAGGGCCGGCCAGGCCTGAACGTAACCGGGCAGGTGCCCAGAGCAGACAGGGGCCAGTGGGGGAAGGAGTGCGGTAGCAGTCGAGGCACCCTGCCACCTCAGGGAGGTGGGGCCCCAGGCAGTCAGGGCTGTGGAGGAATGAGCTTGCATGGGGGGCTGTGAGAGACTCTTAGGGGTCAGAGGACAGCCTCGGAGTGGCTGCTAAGGAGCAGACAGGACCCACACACAGTGCGGGGAACCAGGGCATCAGGTGGGAAGAGCAGCCTGGGCCTCTCCAGCGGCAGCCAGACTTCAAGGCCAGGGAAGGGACAAGGAGAACTGGGGTGGGGCAGGGTGGGTGGCCAAGTAATGGATGCCCCGTGGCTGCCCTGAGGCCTCTGGAACCCCCGCCCTAAGCATCCCGGCTCACCAAGGATTTCCGCATTCCAGCCTGGGTCCAGCACTTTAATCTCAGGCGGGTCACCCAGTCTCCCTTCCCCCCATTTCCCTAGCCAGACAGGAAGTAGGGAGTCTCCCCAGGGTACCCACACTGTCCCCATAGGCCTGGCTCAGGGGTCCCCGCCAGGCATGCTCTGCCGCAGCAGGGTGATCAGCCCCCAAGGGCACTCAGCGACTGCAGCCACCCTGAGGGATTTGCAGGGCCCGAGGAGGCCCGGCCTCTGCTGCAGACCAGCCTCACCTCCAGAGCAGTGGAGGGGGCATTCCGGCCCGGGGTCAGGTCCAGCAGCTGCCTAGACCTGCTCCCCAGTGGCCCTTGTCCTGCAGGGGAGGGTGGTCAGGGCATGGAGCCGGGCTGCTTCCCCAGAGGCTGCCCTGAGCACCCCGTGCGCGATGCCCTCACCTGCCGGTAGATCTTGCCCTTTTCCAGGCGGGTGATGCGGTCCCACTGGAGCGAGCCCTTCTCGTCGAGTTTCCGGAACGGCCTGGGGTGGGATGAAGGGCTCTAGTTCTAGTCTGTGGCAGGGCCCCAAGCCAGGTACCCTCTTCTCTCGAAGAGCCACCTGCTCAGGGGGGGTGTGTGGCGGTGGGAGCTGTCCTCAGGCGGAGAGCAGCCCCCCGCAAGCCCAGCCACCCCCGGGCCCGTACTTGCGCCGGTCAGTGAACTTGTCGGCCTGGACGATGACCACATCGAAGAGCTGCCGCCAGTCGGGCCCCACCATGTGCCGCATCCCCTTGTCCCTGTGTGGAGGGTGCAGGTGGCAGGTGAGCTGGAGGCCCCACGTCTGCCCCGCCCTGCCCGTTCACCCGCAGGCGCGGGACTCACACGAAGCTGAAAGGGCTGTTGGTGATGAGGAACAGCTGCTTCCCGTGGGCCACCAGGCGGCTCAGGACGGCGAACGTCTCGTCCCCTCTCAGGATGTACTTCTCTAAGGGAGGGAGGGTCTGTGAGGCCCAGCCCCACCCCTGCGCAGGGGCTGCCAGGGCCACCTCTGGCCTTACCCATGTCCTGCTCGATCCACTGGTACATGAGGCCCTTCACGTGCACGTCGCGGATGGCATCCTGGGGGCAGAGGGACGGAGGGGACGGTGAGGGGGCAGGGCCCGGGAAGGCCTGCCCACATGGTGGCACCTCGCTTTCCCCGCTGTCCGAGACCCCCTCACCGTCACATCCTTGTAGAGGTGAGCCTGGTCGAACTCCAGGCCGTGGCCCAGGAAGAAGTCCACCACACAGGACAGCAGGGCCATCTCCGGCAGCGAGAAGATGTCCATGAACTGCTTAATCGAGGGACCCTGGGGGGGAGGGGGCACCGTCTCAACTGCCTGCGGGCCTCACGGCCTGTGGGCGCCACCTCCCAGGGGGCCAGCCTCCGCGGCCAGCCCCTGACCCAGGCCGTGGCAGGCGGGCGGTACCTTGCCGTAGAAGCCACTCATCTGGTAGAGGGGGATGTGCCGGGTGCCGCCATAGAGGTCGATCACCTCGTCATCGGGCACGGGCTGCAGGCCCCTGAACGGGCACAGGGACACCTCAGTCCAGGGCCTGGGGCCCAGGCGGCAGTGTGGGGTGGGACGCGTAGTAGGGCAGTCAGCACCGACCTGTAGGCCGTCCCCAGCTGCACGTAGTGGAAGGCATCGATCTTCATCAGAAGGCTCTGGGGGCGCCAGGGCAGGCAGTGAGGCCGCAGTCCTTAGCCTGGAGCCACCGCTTCGGCCCCACCAAAGCCCCAGTTGGATAGAGCTAAGGGATCGTGGATGACCGAGAGGAAGGACAGCTCCGAGGCCGAGGGGCAGGCAGAAAGGGTGGGGCATCAGCGTGAGGCGCGCGGCTGCTCACCTTCTGGATGTCGTAGTGCAGGCCCCGGATGGCAAAGCTGGGGTCATAGTCGTACTTTCGAATCCCCTCTGGGTACTGTTGGGGCAGAGGGTCTAGCCTGAGCCGAGGGCACTGCCAGACCTGCTGGCTGGGTGGCCACCTTGGGGCACCGATCCAGCCGCCCGCCCAGGGACCCCAGGCTGGCTTCACCTTGTAGTGCTCAATTAGGATGTCGCGGGCGGCGTTGAAGATCTCGGGGTGCAGCGCGTCGGCATACTGGGCCAACGTGTAGTCGTAGTCGAAGCCGTAGACCTGGACGTCACGCAGGCTGATCTCGTTGTTGGCGTAGATGGCCGCGGGGTTCAAGAGGCTGCAGACCTCGGGTGGCAAGAGGTCTAGAGGTGGCAGGACGGGCTGATGACCAGGGCTGCGGCATGCAGCCCCCCAGCCCCATAAGTCGCTCAACACCCCACACCGGCAGCTTGGCCCAGTGCTACTGTCAGTCAGTCACTCAAGACTTGGCGAGAAGTCACTTGCCCAGCGTCACCCGTGCCCACCACACCTTCACCTGCAGCCCACGTCTCCACCAGGCTCCCACCAAGCCCATCGGTGCACACTGTGCTCGAACCCCAGCAGCACCCCAGACAGGCTGGCCCCAGGACAGTTGCTCTTGCCATGGCCTCCGGTGTACGCAATCCTTGCTGGAAACCCACCCACGTCCCCTGTCTGGGCCTCACAGGAGAAGGTCTCCCCTGCTCTCCGCGGCCCAGCGCCCCCATCGGCCTTCTTAGGGGCATGTGAAGGGGGCAGCCCATGGGGACCAAGGACTCCAACCCAGAGAATGCAGGCCCTGTCTGGGCCAGACTAGGGGCCTCTGCCCCTCTGCCACTCAGGCTGCCAGCTCAGGGCACCTGCCGCAGCCCAGGGAGTGGGGCCCCTCTAATCGGATTTCAGTGCCTGCCAGCCCACGTAACGACATTTGCTGGCTCTAGCCAGGGAACATTGCTAATTACGACAGGCAGGATCTGTGATGTCGCATTCTGGACCATTACCCAGGCACTCCCTTCTGGGGATGCAGTCGGCTGAGGCCCACAGCAGGGAGGCTGAGCCCCAAACTCACTCCCTGGCTCCGGTTTCCCTCTCTGTGATGGGGAAAGGACATAGTTCTGAGGTCGGCCAGATCGGATCAGGTCCCCTCACCCCCCAAGGTTGTGCTTCAGAAATGTCACTTCTGCGCGTGGGCCTCTGTTTCCTTGTTTCCAGAGTGGGAATAAAAGTTATACCAACCGGGCCGGCAGGTGGCATGCTAGGTAAGGCACTGGACTCCCACATGGCCAACAGCG